GGGCATGATCCTCTCCCCTGGACCTCGGACATATGAGGTAGAAGGACGGATGTGGTCATGAGCAGGGAGCGTGGCAGTCGGAGCCCAGGCTGCTTTGGGGCTTGTGGACAGGGGACACGCCCCTCCTCACGTGGCGTGGGACGGATCCGTGACTTGGGCGATGTGCCGTCAGGAGTGGAGAGGATGCCGCACGTGGAAGAAGTGACCAGAGGGCGGTCACTCAGGTGGACACCAGCTCCCATGCGAAGTCCAGTGTCCTCGGAGGCCTGGGCTCAGGGGAGCTTATTTCCTGGCCTCAGCTCCATCTGCTCCTGGGGAGGTCAGGCTCGGGAGGGGCCTGGGCCCCCCAGGACTTGGGCTGCAGCAGAACTGCTTCCGCTCAAAGGCCTCTAGTCTCGTCGATTTTGTTGAGGCCTAAATGCAATCTTGCAAACAAATCGACTTTCCCCGGCGCCCAACCCACAGGGGGCGGAGCTTCTAACGCAAAGGCTGAGCTTTCCGCTGGTTCGGATTCATCCGCATCTCCGAGGGAGAAAGCAGATCCGTCTCCTCCCTGGAGCTTTACAGCCGTGGAACCCTGGCGGGGGCCGGCCAGGGGCTAGTGCAGACCCCTTGACAGGCAGCTGCTGAAATTATGTGCCTTGAGTCAGCTGTGACCTATGGGGACCCATGCACAGCAGCTCTGAAGCCTGCCCTGTCCTGAGCCAGTCTCACTAATTCCAACACACCAGCCCCCATTGCTCTAGTCACTGTATCAATCCATCTCATCCGGGGTCTTCCTCTCCTTCTCTGTCTGTCCACCCTTCTAAGCATGATGTCCTCCTCCAAGGACCAATCTCTCCTGGTCACGTGCCCAAAGTAAGTGAGGCAGAGCTTCAGAATCCTAGCCTCCGAGGAGAAACTTGGCTTCACCCTCTCCGAGACAGACCTCTTCTTTTCCCGGTGGTCCGTGGTATGTCCGAGACTCCTCTCCAGCACCCAGCTTGAAGGCTAGGGTTTGCGATTTGACACTGATGCCCAGCCCGCTGTGATGGGATGCTCCGCCCTCCCTTGCCGTCCTGCCCGTTTCCGTCAGTCCTGCCAGCACAGCCCCGTCCCCACCTGCACGGTGTTCTCCTCCGCCAGTGCTCACATAGCCCGGCCTTGTGTCAGTTATCCTGAGGGACCTCTGCTCTCAGTCTCCTGACCCCCTGACTGTTGTCTGCTGATGGGGCTCTCGCTGTTCACGGGATGTGAGTGTTTGAGTCGGATCTAAACGAGAGACAGCACGTGCTCAGGGGAAACCCAGGCCTGCGTCGCTCCTGCCGCTGTCTCACAGGGCAGGTGTCGCCCAGCGTCTCCCGGGGGCGTCTCCCGGGGAATCTCCATACACAACTTCAGCCCTGTCCTCTGCGGAGACGTGATCCCTGACATCACACAGTGGTCACTCTTCCAAAGACACACAACATAAGCAGTGACACTTCAGCCGTGTGGATACCCAGGTCTGACCACAACCTGATTCTTCCCTGGCCTCTGTGCATGGGCACCTGTGCAGTGGATGAGCCTCCAGGGTGCAGTGAAAACACAGCCCTGGGGACAGGAAGGTCGGTGGTTCAAGTTCACCTTTGGAAAAAAGGCTGGTGATCAGTCCTCAGCCGTGCCAGCCCATGAGGTGCTGTGCTCCTCCAATCCACGGACCATCAGGAGCCCAGGCTGTCCCGAGCCCTGGCCACTGCCCACGGGCCATCGGGAGCCCCAGCAGACCTGAGCGCTGGCCACTGCCCATGGGCCATCAGGTGTGTCAGTGACCCTGCAGGTGACCGAGGACAGGGCACGGTCAGGTGTGTCGGTGACCCTGTGGGTGACGGAGTATTGGGCACTGTCAGATGTGTCGGTGACCCTGCGGGTGACGGAGGGTGACCGAGGACGGGGCATGGTCAGGTGTGTCGGTGACTCAGGGTGACCGAGGACGGGGCACGGTCAGGTGTGTCGGTGACCCTGTGGGTGACGGAGTATGGGGCACTGTCAGATGTGTCGGTGACCCTGCGGGTGACGGAGGGTGACCGAGGACGGGGCACGGTCAGATGTGTCGGTGACCCTGCGGGTGACGGAGGGTGACCGAGGACGGGGCACGGTCAGGTGTGTCGGTGACTCAGGGTGACCGAGGACAGGGCACGGTCAGGTGTGTCTGTGACCCTGCGGGTGGCCAAGGACGGGGCACGGTCAGGTGTGTCGGTGACCCTGCAGGTGACCGAGGACAGGGCACGGTCAGGTGTGTCGGTGACCCTGAGGGTGACAGAGTGTGTCTGTGACCCTGCGGGTGACTGAGGACGGGGCACAGTCAGGTGTGTCGGTCCTGGGGTCACTGGGAGTCATGACTCGCACAACAACATAGAAAATGATTTCTGTAAGGTGCTGCATTTCCTATGACCATTAGACTATGAAGCGTTTACCTGGGCAGGTCAGGCACCGGAGCAGACCCTCCTGACGGCGCAGAGCCCTCGCCCCATGTCCTCTGTGCTGTTCTGACTCTGGCCAGTTCATCAGCTCTGGAACTGGGAGCTCCGTGGAAATTCTTCCCGAAAGTCCACCGTCGGCCTCTCTCATGAGTTCCCTTCAGAGGCCCGGCCCATCCTTTCGGACATAACTTTCTAATCAATCTGTCCTTACATTTTACTTAAAAAAATTAATATAGATCCGTTGCCACCCCCTCTTGGCAAACCAGGAAGGCCTGTCAGCTGTGGCCTCCATGCCCTCTTGGGCCTCCCGCGTTAGCCCGGGGGTCCCGTGCGCCCCGCTGGTCCCCCTCTACCTCCACCCTCCTTGTTCTCCTTCCTCCTCTTCCTGTTCTCCTTCCTCTTCCTCCTCCCCCTGACTGCCGCCCCCCTCCTCCTTCATCTCCCCCACCCTCTGCTGCTCACTGCACACCCTGCCCTCGTCCCCACACCCACGCAGTCTTCCAGCGCCCGGTCTCCCGTCCCTTTCTCACGTCCCTTTCTCACGTCCCTTTCTCCCGTCCCTTCCTGACGTGCTGCTCTGTCTGCTCCCAGACCAGGAACCTCACCGTGGACGGGCACTTCAGCGAGTGGTCCCCGTGGACACCCTGCACGCACACGGACGGCCCTGCCCTGGGCTCCTGCCTCTGCCGGACCCGCTCCTGTGACAGCCCGGTGCCCCAGTGTGGCGGCTGGCCCTGCACCGGCCCCAGCGTGGAGATCGCCAACTGTTCCAGGTGCGACCACAGAGAGCCAGAGGGGCACTGTAGATTGCCCAGGGGACACCCTCAGGTTGTCCAGGGGACACCCTCAGATCGCCCAGGGGACACCCTCAGAGCATCAGAGAGCCAGAGAGACACCCGCAGATCACCCAGGGAACACTCTCAGAGAACCAGAGAGACACCCTCAGATCGCCCAGGGGACACCCTTAGAGAACCAGAGGGACACCCACAGATCACCCAGGGGACACCCTAAGCATCAGCAGACACCCTCAGGTCACCCGGTGTCCATTCACAGAACGTCAGCAGACACCACCAGAAGACACCCTCAGAGTGCCCAGGGGACACCCTTAGATCACTCAGTGCACACTCACAGAGCACTAGAGGCCACTGTCTTTGTCCAGTTCAGACTGGACCAACTGACATGTCTCTTCCTTTACTTGCGTGGCAGAGACAAAGTGCTTTCCCCTGAAAGTCACCCACCCCCCCATGCAGGGTGGTTTTAATCCTCCTTTAGGTCAGAATTTTCCCTCTCTTCATTCCTTCATCACTGGGGGACACGTTTCTCACTGACACAGCATCATTGGCCCATCGGAGGGAAGGTATACATTCGAGGTACATGTATACATGCGAGGTACAAATGACGGGTATGTCCCTTATAAAACACTACATTTGCTCCAGATTGGTCCAAACCAGTTCACCCTTCACAGCTGTCACTCTGGTTTTGATGACACCCGTGACACTGATGGTCAGAAGTGGCTGAGCTGTAAGCATTTCCTTCTGACCAGCTGGCAGGTGCTGTGTGGTGACCAGCGAGCCTGTCTGCTAGTCCTGGGAGGTCTCGGGCTCCACACAGCACAGGAACCATCTGAGAGACAGAGAGGGCGAGAGACAGCATGAGAGAGAGAGACAGACAGACATGGAGCAGGGGTGGGGGGAGAGAGAGAGACACGGAGAGGGGGAGACAGACAGACAACCCACTGGGCCTCCAGTGGGTTTTCAGAGACAGACTCCGCACACCACAGGAACCATCTGAGAGACAGAGAGGGTGAGAGACAGCATGAGAGAGAAGAGACAGCATGAGAGAGAGACAGACAGACATGGAGCGAAGGTAGGGAGAGAGACACGGGGGTGGGGGGAGAGACAGACAGACAGACTCTGCACACCACAGGAACCATCTGAGAGACAAAGAGGGTGAGAGACAGACAGCATGAGAGAGAAGAGACAGCACGAGAGAGAGAGAGACAGACAGACATGGAGCGAAGGTAGGGAGAGAGAGACAGACAGACTCCGCA